CCTTTTTATCCAGTAAGCTTCCAGATTAGGGAATTTTAGGGTTTTTCGACAAGTGTTCATCGTACAGCTTTTATAGATAACTTTTTTTGAAGCTAATCTAATTTAATTAGGAGTTAGTTTATATTTAGAAGTTTGTTTTCAATTAGGATTATGGGTTATCTATAGTTAGCTCTATTATCTCTAAGACTTGTTATTAGATTATAAAAATATACTAGCTATTATAAAAATATTATACATATATATAGCCGTGTCCCCGAACCCTACATTTTACAAATTTTTTGTGTCCCGTACCCATACCCGTACCAGTGGAACCTAGATGTTAACACTTAACAATATATGTAGTCTGCACATGTCCCTGACTTTAATTACTTTCAGTACCTTAGATCCAAAATTATTCATATATAAATATTTCATCTTTGAACATCATAAACCTAGTGAAGCTAAACGAAACCTTTTCCAAGCTTATTTACTTGCCTCTCATACATCTTGCAAATATAATGGCTTCTACGCTTCCCATTGCTAAGTGTTCATTATATAATGCTAGTATATCACTTTAGATGCTTATCAAGACAAACCTAGCGAAAAAGCAAACTAAGATAGTACTACGATCTCAAAGAACGACATACCCTCTTTACTCTTATAAAAAAAAATAAGATCATAATTTAGACATCAAAATGTTAAAAATAACTAAGTTGAGCGTCCATTCTTAATCATAAGGGAAAAGTTTGGGAGCACCTTAGAGGCCTGTTGAAATAAAAAGCTAGTCTGCTCCATCCCACTAATCTAGTAAAAGCAATCACAAGGACAAGTATAGGAGCAAGTTAATTATCATAGATATAAAATGACAGTAAAAATATGATTAATATAAGATTTAAGCATAACCAATATAGAATTATAACTTACCAGGTTGATATCAGTAAAAATGACAGTACCAGATTTTGTCTTTCCATATCTACTAACATTATTAGGAAATGAAAGATCATTTCCATGAGTTGGTAAAAACCAACCATCAATCCTGGCAAAGTCGCGTAATCCAAAATGTTGAAATAACAATGCCGCTCCTTCTCTTATACATCCAATGACATCGGTGGGGAAACGTGGAGGGGTGTGGTAAGCAACCTAAGAAGAATTAGTAATGTATTCAGTTAAGACAATTATATACTGGAAGTCAACATAGCCAAGAATTTGTTACCACAATAGAAAGTCATGACCATATAAGGACATGCAGAAAGTAAAACATACAACCAGGAATCAACCAGGCTTCTAAAAACAACAAAGGTCGGCTAACTAGGTAAGAACAACACATGAATAGAATAGACGAAGGAGAAGATTAAAAAAAAGAAAAAAAAAGAAAAAAAGGAAGAAAGAGGCAACAATCTTGCAGCGAACTTGAACAATGAAATTATAAAATAAAATAATGAAAGAAAAGAAAAAAGAGCAGCTTATAGACAGAAGATGATTCGAGGAGTAACCGAGTAAGGTTTTATATCTTCTATTTAATATTGACAAAAACAGATAAATTCATGGACTGGAAATTTGATTGGAAATTTGTGTTGGTATCTTTTCTAGAAGATTTACAATTCAAAACAAACAATTTATGAACTAGAAAGGATGAAATTTCCTATCCTATTGGTTAGCTTTGACAATGATGGTTTCTATGACCAGTTCTATTGCTTAGATTAGGCTTCATTTCGCAAAGTCAGAGAGCTTGGCAAGGAACTTTCCGCATACTGATGCTTTCATATTACTAAAATTTGGTTCCTTCATATCTTTAAAGAAATTGCATTGTACATTACACAACTCTTGATTACAGCTAAGAAGTTATTATACCTTTAGAACTTTTATCATAAGCAAAATGCACTAAGCAACTTACATATGTGATCCATCATTCAGGATTTAGATTTGACACAATTGAGGTAGATGTATCTTTTACGACAATATTTTTTGGGCTTCAGTTTAGATTATTTATTTATTCCATTTGACAAAAAACTTTAGAATTACATGGAGCTCAAAACAGATTGTTTGCCAAGCTGGGATCCTTTTATATTCTTAAGTTTTTTTTTGGGTTCTCAACAAGATTTATGGTCTGATGAGAGTTAAATTTTTGACTCTAACCTACAATTATCTTGTAATACCCCTATTTTTTGCTTGATAAGAAGTAATTAGTTGTCTCAAATTATAAATATTAAATTATAAAGGGCTGGTATGCAAAAGGAAACTAACAATTATAATAACATATCTAATAGAAGTTTGATGAGAGGGTATATTAGTAATGGAATTCTGCTAAGGGCTTTATTGGGAATTTGAGAGCAAATAAATAAAAGAAACCCTAGCCGCGTCCTTCGCAGCCAAAAAAAGAGATAAAAGTTGGCAATCGGCAAGAGAAGGAAGCCAGAAAAAAATCTAATGTTTGAAGGGTGACTTGATCAGCTTTACACAAGGAATAACGTATAATCCTATCTCTATCTGTAGCAATTTGTAGATGGGGTAGGATAAGGATAGCACTCTTGTTTATGCAGACAATATTATTATTAGTTTAATTGGACCTTTCTCTAACTGATTGTAGACCATATCTCCACTAGTTGGGGTCTTATTTTCATTGCCATGACTAAATTCTGTCGTGGGCAGCACCTTGTTGGGGTCCAATATATGTACAATGATTAATTATATGTTTACTTTGGTCAATGGGTATGAAATCATACCAATTTGGTATTTGTATCAGACATGAGGGTTAAGGTTTATTCTTAGTTTCTTACGACCAAATGGATAGGTAGACAACTAGCATGTTAGGTTAAATAAAATTGTATGATTTGATAACAAGTCTCGTATGATCTAATATATTAATTAGTTTTCTTGCTTAAGCATATAGTATTGGGATGTTATATATTGATGAATATTTGCACTATTCTTTAGGGGTTCCTAGAGATCCTGCAGAGACGTCATGAGTGGATATTTGGATTGTCTTTTGGATTAAGGTAAGTGGTGAATTTATATGTTATGCATTGACCATTGTGTATTTTTCATCTAAGAGTTATATATATGGGAATTATTTTCTGATGGCTTATATCCTTTTGTATGATTTACTCACATATTAATTGTTTACCGGACCATATTTGGTGATGCACAAGGATATTTGATATAAGTTCATGCTTATTTTTCCATGTAAGTTGTCATGTCTTTTCATATAATAGTAGGTTGAGGTGCATATGTGGTTTGATTTCATTATTAGTTGGCCTTTGGCATTTCTTTATAAAATATTTTGTTTTATGGACTTTGTTCGATTATTGAAAACATATGCATCTCAAGTCAATATACCGATATATGTCGGATATAAGTCATTTAAATAGGGCTCAATGTGCCTCCATGACGTTTAATTTAGCGCTAAGCCCACAATTTTGGGTCTTGATATCCTAGCACTAAGAGATAAATAAAAGTGGGAATACTGTGTCAACCCGGGTATTAAGTGTTGACCGCATTGAGATGTGGCATGCTTATTTTCTATTGCATGAGTCTATATTTTAAAAATGTTGCTTCAAGTACGAGAGTACATTGATGATTTTCTACTATTCTAATATTTTGCTTATCAAGTCAAAATATTTCAGTTTTCTCTAAAATGGTGTTTAATGTATAAATTATCCACTTACTGAATTGTGAACTCATTGTTTTTATTTTACCTTTTTCAGAGACTCAAGATTAGATGGAGTTGATGGTTTCCAATTTCTTAGAAGGAAGCAAGAAATAAATTTACAGACTGCTAATTTCTTTTAGGTCGAGATTAAATAAAGATTTTGATGCTTAGTTGATTTTTTTGAAGATTATATAGTAATAAGATTCCCTTTTAAATTGAATCATATTTCTAGTTGGGAAAACTTTTATTTATATCATTTGATTGGATAAATAGACTTCTGATTATGCAGAATAATTATTGTTGGTTATACTTCAGATGATGAGATTATTTTGGTTGTTATTTAATGACTATACATTCTTGGAGAAAATATTTTAACAGGTTTAGTCTGGCTCCAATATTTCTTTAAGGTCCAAAAATTGGGGTCGTGACATATCTTCAGAGGTCACACCAGACTCTTACATATTTAGTGAAACTCAGTTTTTCTTCTTCTTTATTTTAAATTCTGGAACTCTAAAACTGGTGATCAGATTAATCATTAAATATCTAGCGGTCAAATGAAAGGATCCAAAATCATCCTAATAACTGTAGTATAAAAATAGTTTGATCAATAACATGATTCATGTCTCTATTAAGCAACAGTGCAATTATGAAAATGAAGCTTAATGATTATCGGAATTAGTATCTAGGGTACTGCAACAATATTGTATCAATCCAAGTATCAAATTAACAAACCTGCTGTGTTGGAAGATACTTCCGCCGGTAATTGAATATAGTATCGTCATTAACATCATTCTTACCACAAAGTTCCACCTGCCATTGAGGAAGGAAACATTATTAAATATCAATAACAATTTCAAAAGTACATTATGAAAAAGGCATTAACCGCTATTTCTAGATATCTCTTAGTGAATAATATTTAGAGGTTTAGAGAGCTTTGCATGGTGAGACTCTCAGGGTAGACACTTTGAAACTTCTATGATAAATAAGCACAATCTTTTTTCGGCTTGAAGGATGGCAGCAATACAAGATGCTAAATATACCAGCATCATGCTGAGCATTAACAATTGTATCCGGGAAAACGGGCATCATAATGCATTTGATACCTAAAATAGATACTGATAACAAAAGAAATCAATTAGTTTGGAAAACTGAATCATACGCGTGTGTTGACTTGCTGGCTGAAACAAAGAAATTGATTCTAGACTAAATTATGCAGTTTAAAAAAGCTTCAAAAAAACAACAATTTGTTACATGTTATATAATAAATTCCATAATAGAGACCAACGTTTAAGTACCTAATAACTTGTTCCCCTCCTCCCACCTTCGGAAAAAATAGAAGGAAATGGAAGACAAGAAAAGGTTTCCTTAAGAAACAAATATCTTATATACCCCCCCCCCCCCCCCCCCCCCCCAAAAAAAAAAAAAACAAAAAAAAATCCACCCCACCACCCAAAAATAAAATTTAAAAAAAAACTTGCGAACACACAGAAGGAAGTACTTAATACTCTCCCAAGTAACACTTTTTTTCCTTTCGGGAATTATATTGAAAAAAACAAAAAAGAGTCCGCATAACCTCCTATCAAAATGGATGATCATATGACCTATGTTAAATGATCCTTATTAATACCAAAAGCTCTCTAACTTAATGCATAGTTCCAGAACACTTTTTTGCAGGGAAAACCATGATGATGGCTTTGGTATCTTTCTGGCTACTTGTAACATCTCAATAACAGTAAATTGAATATAACTAGGGGCCCATGATCAACAGCCCAGTCACAACAATTAGGATACTGCTAAATTTCTCGAGAAATATATCTATGTCACACACGTATGAAAGATTATCTTTATTGCGCAAGTTGCTGAAGAATTCAAGCAATGCAAAAAGATAATATACCTCAGTTGGGAGTAGAACAACAGGCTGACATTCAGTTCCTATGCCAGTATCAACAACAATAGCTGTAAATTCACTGCCTCCATCTAGAAAAAACTCTACAAGAACTCTATCATCAATACCCTGTCAGTCGTAGAAATGTGTCAGTAAGACCAATATGTTATATTTTCTTCCTTCTTTTTTTCTTATAACAAATGCAACTGTGAAAGAAACCTACCTCTGAAATAATATCTAGAGCTTTATTAATAGAATTATCAACACCATGGGCAATGGTAACACCAATGCTTGATCCTGCCCTTGCTGGTTTGACCTACAAACCACAAATATCAACATGTCTCTATATTTAGAAGCGACCCTTCAATCAAAGAAAACCAATTAACATCTTACCACAACTTTTCCCGTTTCCTTGTCCAGCTTATTGATTTCAAACCACTTTTCAAGTTCAGATTTTTCAGCTTGGTTTTCCTGGTCCCATTGAATGGAAATGAATCAGTGAAGTTAAAAGTTCAGCCAGAACCAAAAAAAAATCTAAAGTGGGTCCAACTTAATAAACCAGTTAGAGCCCAGTGAAGGAAAAAATAATTTCTCATCATAAAATATCAATAAACTTGAGTTTGAGAATCCAGAGAATCCAACTGAATCATGTTGTTTTTACAGATTGTTGAGCTCAAAGCCTTAAACTTTCAGCAGGAAAAAAGCACAAGAAGTTGACTTACACAGGTATTTGATGACAAGACTACAGTTAGAAATCAGGATTTTAGCAATTGTTTCATTATTAAGGGCTTAGATCACTCTCAAACTCCTTCATATACTAGAGAAGATAACAAGTCTCATTCCACTCAGACTTAAAATCCCTCCACACATGATAATTTTCACATAAATTGAAGGTCTTCACTAAACTAAACTCCTATTGAAATACTTAATGTCATAGAAGGTGGTAAGCGGACTAGACGTTTGGGCCAGCGCCTAGGCATACGCCTAGGTGCTGCCAATTTTTTAAATTATTTAATTATAATAATTGATTAAAATATATATTAAATTCATATCAATTTGTCCAAAAAATAGATAGCAATCTTAGATCCACAATAAATCATATATACTTAAATATTAAATAGCTAAAATAATAACTAACAAGGTTATAGAAAATGCTAGGCGTTCTAGGCGTTGAATCTGGCGCTTAGAGCCTAGGAGGTTTTCTTTTTTATTTTGTAATTATAATAGTTGATAGTAAATGTCAATGTTATAGAAAGCTTAGGTGCTGGACTGGTGTCTAGGCGGATTTTTTTCTTCATCTAAGTGATGGTTGATGAGGTTTTGCTAAAGGTCGGAGGAGATAGTGAAGGTGTCTATATTTGGAGTTTAAAGAAATTTGAAGGAGGTTGAAGGATATAAAGGTCGCAACACAAAAAATCAACGATCAAGGCCTAAAGGATGTAGTCTACATAAGTAGACAATGCTTTCATAAACACTCCTAAAACCTAGGTAGCAACCTAGGTGACGCCAGGCGCTAGGCGCTAGTTAGGCAGCCTAGGTACCGCTTAGGCGTAGGCGTATGCCTAGACGGATTAGGACGGAGGCTTTTTAAAACAGTGGAAATGCCCATAAAAATTTAAATCAAAACTAAAAATCAACTGGTTCTAGGAGGAGAGTGGAATTTCAGTGGAGAATTTTGACTAATATGAGAGATACAGAACTTGAGAGGTGGATTTCAATGGATGGTGAAAGGATTACAAAATCAACAAAGGATGTAATGTTTGACGGGTTATCTTTCTTCCCTACCTTGAGTATTCTGTATCAGTATGTGAAACAAGTTCTTCTTTTTTAGATGTGTTGGTGGGTTCTTTTGTCAGCTTTTGAATTTTCTCTAGTTTTTAGTTTTTTTTTTTTTTTTTTTAATTCTTCTCTAGTTTTTAGTTTTTTTTTTTTTTTTTTGAATTCTTCTAAGATTGGAGAATAGTATGACAAGAGGATGACGAAACTGGAGATTATTTACCTTTAAAATTTGCATAAGATGAAAGGATGCTATGCACTTTAGACAAAAAAGTTTGTCTTAAAGATCATTGTAATAAAATTAGGTTATTTTGTATATGAATAACAATAATAAGAAAAAATAACATTCTACATCTGCCAATCATAGTTTATTTTTCCTTTCCCCCTTTTTTGGGTTATGGTCAGGAGCAATATTGGTGTTGCTGGTTTTAGGATTCCACTTACTTTTGGAATCATGTTCTGTATTTTACTCAATTGAATAACATGTATCCTCAGACAACACACCAACGATTATTGAAGGCAAACAATAAGCCAAATAACCACATGAAGAAATTGAGGATTTGTGCAAGGTGTAATAAAAATATTTGCAGCATGAAACAGAAGAACTTGAATATTGAAGTGGTTAGAGTTGCACCAGTATCAAAAAACTAGGTACAGTCGTGAATCCTTGTTTGGCAAGCTCCAGCGAGGCATTGTACTGCAGATGGAAAGAACAGTTAAATACAAGATTGATGAAATACAATGCACGTGACTTCAATGAAGCTTTATTAATTGATCACGTTGAAAACACAAAAGATCTATTATTAAAACATAAATATTTAGGAAAAATCAGTTACAGTAATTTATAATTAATAAAAGCTGGCAATCAATGTGTTTGCTTGAAGTAAACTGACTGCTCATATGCAAATATCTAATCTTCAAAACGTGGATATTCCAATCCCAAACCCATGTCACCTTTGTCCTGTGACAAGAGTGGAAAGTAACTCTTCTTGAACATTGCTCAGACAGACAGACACTTCTCAAACATCTCCAAATCTTGCAAGGATGTCTTAGATTTAATAGTGTTTTTTTTTCAAATAAGGACACTTCTTGGGCACATTTAAATGCTTGAACCATTTCTTGTATTCATGCTGAGATGAGTATTTACTTCAATTATACATTAAAAACTATATTTCACTGGAAAGAAAAGACTTGAATAGCAACTTGTGTATGTGGAGTTTACTTTCAAATTTTGTAGGTATCTGATGCACATATCTATCCAATTTTGTGGATTTTCATTGTGTATGTTTGTATCTTATTTATTTGTCTAATGTTTGTGTTCATACTATCTTATGTTCCTGCCCGTCCTCTCTCTTTATAATATCATACACATACATGAATAGATGCATACATATATACGTACACACACACACCCCTACGTTCACAGGCACCCATCCACCCAATCACCCCCACGCCACCCACCCATCCACCCACCTACACGCACGCATACACACACATATGGATGAGTGGGAGGGAGGGAGGGAGGGAGGGAGAGGGTTTTTCTTATTATGTAAGCAAGTTCGATGGTGTTTGCACGCTTAACTACGTGATAAGGAAAGTAATATACCTTGTCAAATGCTTGGCGGCATGCTGCTGAGGGAGTACCAACAAATGCCACATTTGCTTTCTCCAACAGTTCCTGGATAATTAAAGTATCAATATAAGATATGAATCTAATTAATAAAAAGGCTAATTAATACTAAAACCAAATTATATTTGTTCTCAAAGGCATAAAACAGACCTGGATACCACCATCCTCGCCAAAACGACCATGGATAACAGGGAACACTATATCCACTGAAAGAGCAAGATGCTCTGCAAACTCTGACAAAGATTGGAACCCTTGGGCAAGACTGCAGAGAATGAATTTGGACTAAGTCAGCTAAAATCTTAAACAAAAAAGAGACGGGGAAACATAGAAGTTGAGCAACTGACCTTTCTAGCTTGAAATCAAAATCCGCAGGGGTATTGGAGTACAGCTGCAAAATAAGGAAACAAGATCATACACAAACTTCCATTGATCAGACATAAAGAGGCAACAATGATATACCTAGTCATGATTAGCAAGATGTAATTTTCCCCTTAAATAGCACCAATTAAGAATTAAATATGACTAAGAAGCCAAAAAGTCTAAAAACTATTAATCTCACCAAACTTCGTAATAAAAAAACATATGGATATCATCACTTGAAAAGTTCCAATCATTCTGTAATATGAAAAATTCAAACACTATATAAATCATGTGCAAAGGTTCAAGGGCCAGGAAAACCATGACTATTAAGATCTGGCATTACTTTTCTTCCAATTGTTCTTTCAACTATGATGATCTAGTTTTTTATATTAATGATATTATCAAATTTTAATTAAGAGTTGTATTTAAGCATCCTTAATTAGAAAGAGAAGAAATTAATGTGGGGAAACACAGCCACATAACATTCTAAATCAGTTAAGGTGATCTCTCCCCTTGGAGGCTCTTTCTGTTGCTTATTTGGCAAATACCTCGAAGGGGGACAAAAAACCTGTATGTGTTGCCGTGTTGGTATTACTAATTACTAAATACTTTTTTAGAGACCAATGCAACAGAGTTAAAAATACAGTACATGCATTGTCTTCTTAGGCATTTTCATTTTCAATTGTAGCATATTTCTTTTAATTTAGCATAGAACTAACAAACCTATTATGTAAACTGATACTGACAGTAATAAAACTAAAAAATTTCAACAGTCTGTCGGTACAAATAGATCATGATGTTGATCACCACCAGCCCCAGTATCAAACTCTTTTATGTTTTATATCCACTCCCTCGTTGTTGGACCTAAGCATCCCTAGATAATAAGTTGCAATCCTGTTTTGAATCCCTTAAAGTTTGCACACTTGCACGATGGAATGTTGAGTGCATAACCCCATAGCAGCAAGATGTTAGCAAATAATATCCATACATGTGTGAGGACTTCATTCTTGCAATTCTACAAGTAGAGGAGGGCCAATTAGGGGTGGAAATGAACCAAATAATTAACAAATATTTCGATGATTGTTCGAGTAACTATTTGGTCATATTCGATTTGGTAGTTTATTTACCACTATTTAATATTCGAGTTTACTAACAATAGAATATAACCAGATGTATATTCGATTCGTTTGTCTATCAAATATTCGTTTAAAATTTGATCACTTATTATTTGTATTATTACACATACGATGTCATATTTTTAACCCATATACCATTTCTACTTAAATTTTATGTACTTATTTTAAGACTTAAATAATCTTAAATCTGTTTTCTAATGAAAATTTTGATTTAAATATATATACATCATATATTATAAAGAAATAATTTTTATTTATGAATTCAAATACTATTTGGAAATCAAATTCTTTAGCGGAATAAATATATTTTGATATTCGATAAGTATTCATGAACATTTATCAAATACCAAGTATTCGGGTTCGAATTTGAAAAACTCCAAATATGAATCTTAGAGCCCACATTTGAATTAACTCCAAATATGAATCTTAGAGCCCGCATTTGAATTCAATAATTTTAAACAAATACAAACACGAACACCTTAGTATTCGATTCGATTCGATTTTTTACCACCCCTAGGGCCAATAGCCTTAACCAAATACTCGCAAACCTTAAAAAAGATGGGAAGAAAACTAAGCAGTTGATGATTCAGTACAGGTAAAAGGTGTCACATGCGAACATTCTGTACATACACTAATTAAACTAAATTAAAAGGTATAGGTGCCAGCATTTTGTACATACTAAAAAACACAACATATATACTGAAAACAACTGCACATATGCAGCAACCAATTCATGTGAGCCAGCAAGAGAAGGTTTCTAAGTGAACGCAACACAAATGCACAATAACAAATTGAGTTAAATTATTAGGATTCAGAAAATTATCCATAAATATTGAGAGGCCAATGGTTTAGCTCACTAACCTGTGCAGGTGATATAGCATATGCATTGAGATCACAGTTAATATAATAGCAGCTAACATCCAAATCTTCCCCCTGTTACAGATCAAGAACATTAGTTATACATGACAAAAGAAAAAAAATAGTGCGTAACTGTTTTCATTAACAAAAATATACCAACCCCATCAAATTCATCAGATAATGGAACCTGTTGCTTGGTTATGGAGTGAAATTTGTGAAGTGAGATTAGAGAGTATTGACTTAACAACCAAGACAGTGATCCTTATCACTTAACTTCCATATTCATGGACTCACAGGCTAACATCCTCAGTATTTAGAATACCAGATGCATAAAAACACATTTATTTATAGTGTGTATTCTAGGAATGAAAATGAGATTAGCAAATATATTATACATTTCAAGAACCAATATAACATGGAGTTGATAATGACTATAGATGAAAAAGTCCCTAACCTCCCTCTTCTCGCACTCGTCTCTTCCCAGGCGAAAAGGGTTAATAGAATGTTTTTGAAACCAAATCTATGAAACATAAAAATATTTCCCTTTTGATGAGAAAATCCATAATTAGAGACCAAAAAGAAACCACTAATGCTCTACCAAGTGAACTTAACTGTACACTTCCTTCTTTTGTGGAAGCTTGTGAGTTTAAACCTTCCTGCGTGTAGTGAGCAAATGATTTTCGTATTGATAGGTAAACATGTACTAATATATAGGTATTCTACAACAAGAGTTCTGCCCCCACCCCCACCAACCCAAAAAAAAACCTCTCTATGTAGCAGCTACTTTCTCTTCATTGGAAAGCTCCTCCCTCTCATAATGCAAGGCTTTGAACCTTTCTGAAAAACGATGTTTATCTTAAAGGAGGGGGTTATTTGCACTTTAATATCATAAATATTCACTCTTCTAATTTTGATACCCTGAAGTTCTAGTTTGACAATTTAATACCCCAAAGTGCAAAAAAAAATTGAAATTAATATTGTTAAGAAAATCAACATACAACAGTGAAAGAGGGGGAAATTTTTTCTTACCAATTTTTTGGAAAAGTAAGGAACAAAGTTCTTTGTTTGGGTTATCAAATTGTCAAATTGAACATTTATAACTTTGAGATATCAGATTGTCAAAATAAAACTTTGGTATATCAAATCAAAGTTAAAAAAGGGTGAAACTTTGAGATTATAAAGTGCAAATAAGACTAAAAAAAGAAGGGAAGATGTTGCACATATCCTTCTTCATTGTGAAAGATTTTGGGACAATGTGGGCAGACTCTTGTATCTCTCCAATCTGTGATAGAAAAAATAAATGTATGGGAGTTTTGTGTGTTCAAAAACAAGCTGAGGAAGATTTGGTGGGCTTTATTTGTTGTTATTATTTGGCTCATATGGCAAGAAGGAGATAACAGAATTTTTAACAACAATGTACCTACTATATGCAGCACTATTGACAAAGATCAGGGGGAATTTACATGCAAGGTCAACATGGAGCGGTGATTAGCAAATCGAAAACGTTCATATGCTTATTGAAATACTATCACAACGTATGACAGAATGATGCATACATCTTGTATAATGTAAATTGCTATGTTTATGATCCGATATGTGACACGGTGGTATTTTGTCCTGTCTTGCTCAATAAAACATCATTCACCAGCCAAAGAAATTAGCTGACAACAATAAAATAAAAATTGAGAATGAGGATACCTCTATCATTTCAAATACAAATTAAAAGAAGCAAATCATCCTTAGTCCTAGCAAAACTCACCTGAATGTGATCAAGTACCGACCTTGCCGAGTTCAACGAAATCCCCCGCTCCGCCGACGGACCGCCGCAAACAATCCCAACCTTCAAAGGCCTCTCCTCCACAACCACCTCCTCTTCCTCCTTCCTCCTCCCCTCCAAAACCTCCGCCGACGCTGAAACCCTAACCCCTCGCCTCGCCGACCGCTCCCTCTCCAATTCAATCCTCAGCCTCCCAAAACTCGCCAACCGAATCTTCGATTCCCTCGGAGCCAAACCCCGAACGCTACTCTTCGCGAAGCGGAGCGAGAGAGGAGCTGAAGAGAGAGAAGCCATGGCGCAGTTGAGCTAGGGTTTGGGGTTCGAGAGTGTTCGAAGGGGAGGAGAGTGATCATGGCGATTTTGTTCGATCCGGGGTTTATAAATACTCGGTCCTCAGAAGGAGAAGGGAAGAGAGGGGAATGGGATGGCTCCGTCGTATTCGCGCTCTTTGTGCGGTGGTTTTGTGCGTGGGTTTTAAATGTGGAGGTCGTTTTCTTCGGATTCCCGGTGCCCTGTGCTGCTGTGAGTGATGATGATGATGGGTTGGATTTTTTTTTGGTAAACTTTATGCAGCCCCTATTTGTACAGCCAACTTAAAACCGCACCTCTACTTGGACTGCATATGCAAATCACTATTTCGTTTGATAAAAATTTCAAATCTTATAAAACATAAAATTCGAAATTCGAAATTAGAGACATGTTAAGGGTCTGTTTGTTTGCCTTAAAAAAATGGGAAATCAAAAAAATAGAAAACTATTTCTAAAAAGAATTATTTTGGGAGTGTTTGGTTTGCTAAAAAAAAGAAGAAAATCAAAGAAATGAAGATAAGATTAGATGAGTTGTCACCTTATTAGATGATGATGTGAGTGATTTTTTTAAGAAAACCTATTTTGATGTTGTTTGGTTGGCAAAAAAAATAAGGAAATGAATTATAAGAAACTTATTCTTGTAATAGGTTGTTTTCTTTTGTTTGGTTCATTCTTAAAAATAAGAAAATAGATGAGATGAGATAAGTTGTCATTATATTATTGGATGATGTGACCCACACTTAAGGAAATTGTTTTTCTAGCTTTTTGGGAGGAAATGGGTGAAAATAAAATGTTAATAAGATGAGATGAGTTGTCACCATCTTATTGGATGATGTGAGTAATTTAAAATGATGATATGATATGAGTTGAGTAATGTTGTGGATGAAAATAATATTTTATTAGATGTGGTGGACGAGTTGTTGGATGAAAATAATATTTTATTAAATATAGTGGATGAGTTATTAGGATGAAAATGGATGAAATTGTACTTTTGGAGTTTTCTTGGTTTTTATTTCAATTTCTTGGTTTTTTAGGAAATAACCAAACAGAACCTAAACAAACAACGGAAAAATGTATTCTGTAACGTGAAGTTTGCACTGGTGTTCTGGTTTGACTCGGAAGGGGTCTATTTGAAAATGAAAGTAGAAAATGGGGTCTAGAAAACTTTACCTTCTTTCTCATTGTTTTAAGGTGCCGGCGGCTAGTATGGACCTCGCGCTGTACGTTTGATCACGAATAGGACAGCATTTTAAGGGGCTAATAAACAAAAGATTGAGATTGTTAATGGGGTTAAATGATTCAACTATCGCATGAGATAGTCCAAATTTGGGTCGATTGGTTTAAGTACACGTTGGAAGATTTGTATCATGACGTGGCTTCCATTTTTCTATTTGGAGGAGATTCCCAAAGGAAGTAAAACTCGATCAAAATTTTCTAGCATTTTCCCAACAAGTTCGTTTTGGCTTTAGTCGTCTTGTCTTGTCTTGAATAGGAATGGCGTCCAAATAAAGAAAACAGAGCTGAAAGGATGCCGATGCCCTCTAAAATCCACTTATTAGAACATAACAAATTTAGTGGCAACAAGAAAAATAATAGGACGAAGAGGTAAGTATGAATTTTGATTGTTTTCATTCTGAGTGCAATGGCAAGTAACTATGCTCGCGCGAATTTTGACTGTTCCTGTTATACCCATACGAACAATAACATCAATTGGTAGTGGGACAAACTATTTAAAATCTCTATTTTAATGCCGATATGACGAAATATGTCCACAGATTATTTGGACAAATTTTCAAAATCGACCCATTTGTGAACTTAATCCCAAAAAACGACCTCATTCAAACAAAATTGCAAAAAGTGACCTGATTTCAGCATCAGCGCTAAAACCAGGTCGGTTTTTGAAAAAAAAAAATTTTAAAACTTCACGGGAGTTGAACTCCCGTGAAGTTTAGTAGATCTGCTAAACTTCACGGGAGTTGAACTTCACGGGAGTTGAACTCCCGTAAAGTTTCATAGTTCAAAAAAAATTTTGAATTATGAAACTTAGCAGATCTACTAAACTTCACGAGAGTTGAACTCTCGTGAAGTTTAAGAAAAAAAATTTCAAAAACCGACCTGGTTTCAGCGCTGAGGCTGAAACCATGTCGGTTTTTGCAATTTTGTTTGAATGAGATCGTTTTTTAGAAATAAAAGTCTAAATGAGTCGGTTTTGAAAATTTGTCCCGGATTATTCTCTAAGTACATGCAAGAATGTGTATATACCTTTGAAGTTATATCACAAAGCTTAAAGTTTCCCAATCATTTTCAGTATAAAAACTTCAATCCTTGTTATGTCATGAGTTTATTTACGACTAGATTAGTGTAGTATGTAGTCAAATAATTCAAATCCATATATACCACCATGTTCTCCCGAGGATTTCATTGGGGCTAAAAAAAACCACATTCCTCAACAACATAAGTGTTCTCTTTTCAGTGTACAATTTCTGTTTGTCAGAAAAGAGTTTAATAAAATTTTAGCTTATATATTCTTTATTAGGCAAATCGTTACCTAGATTGGAAAATATGGCTTCTAAGCATAATCTCTGGTCCAATTTTGTACTTGATTATTCAGAGTGGAACGAGATTGTTTTTGCTTTCGATAGGCTGGAATAAAATTATGGTTGCGTAACTTTTTACGAGATATGGGTGTAGATCTTGACATTTCCCTTATGATGTAACAATCAAAGTGGCACTCACTTAACCACTATTTACAAAGCATATCGAAGAAGATTGTCATATGGTTCATTAGGAATATGATACTCGTTGGATCATTCTTACACTTATTCCAAAGACTAAGTGACTGATCTTTACACTAAAGCTCAAACTCAGTCTTTGTCTCAATTCTTCTTATTCAAACGTTCAATATCTGCTTATAGTAAGTTTTTCTTTTCTTTTTTCCTTTTTAGGTGGTAAAAATACCAAATTGGTATATTTTATTTACTTTTAGTGACAGATTGGTGTGTATATATATATATTTTTGGGCGACATATTGGTATATTATTTTTTTCTCCGATGATAAATGGGCCTCAAATTTGGTCAGACCCAAATTTCTGGCGAAATTTCTCACTTGACGCCTCACGTGGTGCGAACGTGACTTCCAGCATGACTTCTAGCGTCATAAATCAACTCCAATACCAAACCCTAACCCCTCAATCTCCTTCCTTCTCCTCCTCCACCTCTCCCTCTCCTCCCTCCTCCGCTCCTCTTACCTCTCCGACGCCTCCACCTTCAACCTCTTCAAATCCTCCCTCAACTCTCAATGTGGTGAGCTTTAATACATTGATTTCTAGGTTTTTTTTAGAGAGAAGGGGATGGTTTTGGATGAGATTAGTTACAATTATTTGTTACTGGGAGCCATGCTGACAGCCATGTTCGCATCACGTGAGGCATCACGTGAAAAATTTCGCCAGAAATTCGAGTCCGGCCAAATTTGAGGCTCATTTATCGTTGGAGAACAAATAACATACCAATATGTTGCTAGAGGAAAAATAATATAACGATATGTTGCTGGAAAAAATATATATACCAAATTGTCACTACTGGTAAACAAAATATACCAATTTAGTATTTTTGCTCTTTTTAGGTAGGTGTGGTTGACTATACTTTTTTTGGGAGTATTATAAATATAGTAGTGTGTATTTACCCTTTATGTCGTATGTTCTATATTGGGCAATTTATATTTATTAATTAGTATTATTTCCTCTTTATTTCATTTCTTTCTCTTGGGTTTATCCATAAAAAACCCCAACTTGTATAATAAATATATAAATGTTTGTGTTCAACTATTATCAATGAGATACAATTCTTCATTTTCATTGTTGATTTGTCGATAAAAACATAACAGTTTTCCTTTCACCCTCATAATCAGCATCCTCCCCCTGGATCCTTCCTTCGCTTTAATTTTGCCGATGGTTTCGACCTAAGGTTTGGATGACAATGGGAACAGCATGAATTCAGCTTGGACCAAATCTTTCAATGGCATGAAGATGGGTGCTCGTCGGTACTTTTTAGAATTAGAGACTTGTCTATATCTTTTACTCGGATTCACCTCTTAGGATATCTGGGCAATGAACCTGCCACGCTTCTATTATGCACAAGCCTTTAGTATGTTAACTTTTTTTTTTTTGGAACTCACTCTTTTGTTTCCTCAAATTTCTCAGTTACACTTAGGATTGCTTACATTTTTTAGCAAGTACATATTATATTTAGCGCAACCCTTTTGCAAAGGTCCGAAATGCCTTCTCCATTGACTCAAACTAAGTTGACCAAGATATAAGAGGCAAAGCGTCACCAAGGTGAAACGTTCATGTGGAAGTGTTGCTATTTTGTTGGCCCAAAATCTGGCCAGTTACCAAATGACCTAGTTGCCCACAATATATGCCCTAGCCCTGTTTGCGATGAAAGTTGATGTTTTCATTATTATCGAATCTATTACAACTTTAGTCGTTACAATAAACTCGAATGAAATAAAAAGTTGATCTTTTTATAAGATCTCCTTACACAATGAAAATAAAAAAATTTTATAACTTTATCAAACAAACGCAGAGATCGTCTATCGGTCTTCTGCTTGCATGGGATCTTTGCCTATGCCGGGGTTTATCCGTGGACCACCGTCGATCAGATCTGATTGCTGAAAAATTAGGCAGAGCTTCGTCTATCCGCAAAGGGATCGAGAAACCGTAGCTCTTATCTCGGCGAAGCGAGATAATCACTCTTCTTAAAATTACCGCAACGGGATAATCCTAAGGAACGAACCGGGCTGCAGATCTAACTCCTCCCCCACTCTGAAATCTGTGCACTTTAAGTCTTCAATCCGGCAGGGCTTCGCCGAGGCACGAGAATTCCATATCTGAAAAAATAAGGACCCGGGGCTGTATTTATAGGCTCCAAGGGGTTTCGGGTGGTTAAAACCACCTAACTGACCATTTCTGCGTTGGAGACACCCCAGGGTGTCTCAACCTGGGCCGAGACACCCTAGGGTGTCTCGGCCTCGGCCGAGACACCTTAGGTGTCTCAGTTTAGCCTGAGACATTTTCGATGCATGTTTGATCGTTTCCGCCGTAACTTCTTCGTCCGAACTCGGATTTGAGCGATTCGAAGTGCGTTGGAAAGCCGACGAAGAGTTCTATAAGCTTCAATAATTAGATCATCTATGGAATAAATGAGATATGACGGGTATTTCACCGTTT